CTGTCCCCATAGCCCCCCCCACTACTAGCCCCGCCCACATAGCTCCCCCGTGCCAGCTCCCCACCCAGACACCCCAGTGTCAGCCCTCTGTCTCTTGGAGCCCCCCCAGCACTAGCCTCGCCTTCTCACCCAACCCAGTGCTGCCTCTCAGCCACCTCCTGAGTGCTGCTACTCAGGTCACGGCTGCTCTAAGGCTCAGCCCTCTTCCGCAGCCGGGAGGAGACCCCGTGCCTGCCTGGCCCTTGTTGGCTGAGAGGCAAGGCAGGACACACCTCTCCCAACAGGAGAGGAGGAGAGGTGCTGGCGTCAGGAGGAGAGGTGCTGGGTGGTATATCCTAGTCCCAGCCACCAGAGCCACCGTGGCCAGCAGCCAGCGTTCCGTGGCCTGGTGCCCGTCTGTGGACTGGCAGTTAGGAACTGCTGTTCTAGAATACAGTCCCATTCACGGCACTTTCTGCTTTCCTGGCAAAACCAATCCCTGACCTTGCTTTAAGTTAGAAGAGGAAACTGCCTGCTAAATTTAGTGGCCCTAGCTCATAATTATTTTGGAGGAGTTCTTGAAGTTCACTGAGACCTGCCGGCAGACACACAGACAGATGCGCTCTGTATCTATATAGATATATTTTATAGATAATGATCCAACTGGATCTAGCGATAGTTACATGGCCTTTTGGGCTTCTGCTTGAGACTTGGGAGACTTAAACTGAGCAACTGCAATATGCTAAACAATATGGCTATGGGAGACAATGGGAGTCCTGATCATCTCTGTCTCTTTTTCCAGGTTACTCTCTCCCCAAAAGCTTATTAAAACAAAGATGCTGACCTGAACTTCCCTTACTGATACCACAGGGCACGTCTAAACTACATTCCTCTTCCGAAAGAGGAATGTAAATGAGCCTGATCAAAAATGCAAAAGAAGCGCGGATTTACAAATCTCATGCTTCATTAGACTGTGGTTTCTTCTTCAAAAAAGCAGAAGAAACCACAGTCTAATGAAGCATGAGATTTGTAAATCCGCACTTCATTTGCATTTTCAATCAAGCTCATTTACATTCCTCTTTCGGAAGAGGAATGTAGTTTAGACGTGCCCTGTGGTATCAGTAAGGGAAGTTCAGGTCAGCATCTTTGTTTTAATAAGCTTTTGGGGAGAGAGTAACCTGGAAAAAGGGACAGAGATGATCAGGACTCCCATTGTTGTGCCTGGATTTAATTTTCCTTGTGGCTTCTTAAGAGCTTTAATTTGGGAAAGAAAGTGACTCCTGGCTGTGTCTGCAGAGATGTTTCTGCTATAGTTATTCTCCTCTGCATCCAATCCTGCTCTCTTTCCTTGCAGCCTGTCTTGTCATCTGAGCACATGGCTGCCTTGGGGGTCTTTGGTCTATGTCAGATCCATGCCTTTGTGGACTACCTGCGCAGCAAGCTGAACCCCCAACAATTTGAAATTCTCTTCAGGAGTGTGATCTCACTAGTTGGATTTGTCCTTCTCACGATAGGAGCCGTGCTGATGCTGACAGGTAGATTGAGCTATGTGACAAAAGCTGTGCTCGTGGTGATGGAATGCATGAATTTCCTGTTTCACTTCCCTGTTACCTTGGCCTATGGTTCATTATAATTCATTCCTTTAATGAAACAGGAAAGAGCCCTTTGCTGAGTAATTGTACTAGTTCTTGTACCAAAAACTGCATGCAAACTGTAATTCTAGCTCCTTCTTTCTCAAATCTGTCCCCCTGTGTATGTGTTCAGAAATCTAATCTTCCTAATGTTGTTCAATAAAGCATGTTTTTAGTATTTTGTTGGCCCAGCAGAGCCAGCACAGCTCTGGGAGCTGGAGCTGCAGTATATTCTGGTTCATGCATCATCAACAGAACAGTTGGCTAATCTCCAAGTGGGAGAATGTGTATTGTTGGTGATAGTCAGAAAAATCTCTTGGATCCCAGACTGAGTCTGGTGAGCTTACATATTACACAGCCGCTGCTTAACTTGGAATCTGAACAGACTTGATCTGGAGTCAAGGAGAGACTGTTAAAAATGGAGCTCCATGTGGAGTGCCTTTCAGAGGAGAGCTGCATTTTTAAAGCTATTTTAAAACCCGGTAATTCTGAGTGTCATAAATTCAGTGTATTAATAGTTTCACATGATCAGTATTTGAGAGAGAAATTACAGCTCTACATATTTGTCCTCTGTACAACTTTCTGGTGTAAATTGTCCCAGAAATCCAGTGCATTAATGTGGATTTCTCCCTTCTCTACTAGGGAAAATCTCTCCTTGGACTGGCCGTTTCTACTCTCTGCTGGATCCTTCCTATGCAAAGAATAACATTCCCATCATTGCTTCAGTCTCTGAACACCAGCCTACCACTTGGTCTTCCTATTATTTCGATCTGCAGCTCCTTGTTTTCATGTTTCCAGGTGAGTTTAGTGCATTTACTTATGCGCGCAAACCAATTATCTTCATATAAAGAAAATATTGTCTCAGAAATCCTAAAGACAAGCCCCTGCCCACCTCCATTGGGTAAAACCTTCCCAAGAGTGGAGTAGCTTTATACCAAAAGTCAAAAACCTTGACTGACAGAAGATCAGTGGGAACTTGCATTGCATTGTACATTCCATTAGGTTTACACATTTTAGGGCTATTTAAAAGCTTCAGCTGGTACATCATGTGATTAACCCCTACTTAGCATTGTCAGCTATATTGTTCATGTTACATCCACTCTGAAACCTGCACTTGAACTTCTAGGTACATTTCAGAGTGGTGATCTTATTGGTTTCAACTACCAAGAAAGAGCGTTGTTTAGCAGACAGAACATTGGAATGGAGGAGTCAGTACTTGTGGGTTCTGTTGCTATCTCTGCCACTATGTGACCCTGAGCAATTCATTCCCATCTCTGTCAAATGAGATGATAACACTTAACAGTCTTGTAAAATGCTTTGAGATCTGTGGATGGAAAGCTATATATGCAATAGGTGCTAGGTATTATTACTGCTGAAAAGATGGCCAGTCCCCACTGTAAGCTATTGTCACTTGTAAGGTTACCCCAAAGAATGTTGCTCTCAGTCTTGACTTCGAATCTGAACAGATTTGATCTGATTTAATTGGTGCTAATATTTTGAATTACACCTAGATATGAATAAAGAAACCAGTGTAGTCTGCAGAGCATTGGTTAGTGAGACCATGTCTGCACTACGAGATGAGGTTGAATCTATTACGGTTGATTTCTTGCCACCTGATTTTGAAAAGTTGAAGGTCCATGTCCCCACTACGGGGAAGAACTCAACATACTTCAAAGTAGTGCATCCCCATTACAGAGCTTGCCATTGACGCAGTGTGATGCAGTATGGGTAGCTATCCCACATGCCTACTTTGCATTCTGGCTTATGCTCCCAGTGCATGCTGGGACCAAAACTGTGGTTATGGGTTCATGTCCTCATCGTCCCATAATGCTCTCGTCTACTTGTTGATTTACTGAGATTTTTTTTTTGATTGAGAGAGTATTTTTGCTCACTCTTTAGCCCTGGTTGTCCACACAGACGCTATAGCAGCGCAAGCATGGATCCACATCAAATCATTGTAATGGTGATATCTGCCTTGGTGCGCCTCACGGTGCAGTATTTTGAGAGCATTAGCACAGTCCTCCAGGAGGAGGACAATGAAGAGGAGGAATTTCCTTTTTGGGGTCCTATGCTGGTCAGACAAGCCCTTGCATTGAGCAAAATGGAACCACAGCTGGGATTTGATCTATTGACATAGTGGAATGCCAGGTCTGGTGCCGTGAAACAAGCATGGACTGGTGGGACCACATTGCGATGTGATGCGATGATCAGCAGTCGCAGCAAGACTTCTGAATGCACAAGGCCACTTTCTTGGAACTTTGCAGATGGCTTTCACCTGCCCTGACATGCAAGAATACCAGAATGAGACCCATTCTGACAGTGGAGAAGCATGTGGCAATAGCCCTGTGGAAGCTTGCAACCCCAGACAGCTGTCAGTCTGTTGGGAATCCGTTTTGATGGAGAAATTTACAATGGGGGTGGCTGTTATACAAGTAGCCAAGGCAATGAATACCATTCTGCTCTGTGACTTGGAAACATGGATACTGTAGCGGATGGCTTTGCCACTATGGGGGTCCCTAAATGCGGTGGGATGATAGATGGACCACACCTCTCCATCTTGGCCTCTGACCACCTTGCCAAGCAGTGTGTAAACTGCAAGAAGTACATCTTGATGGTGCTGCATGTGCTGGTGGATCACAAGGACCCTTTCACTGATGTCAGTGTGGGATGATCGGGAAAGGTGCATGTTGCACGCATCTTTAGGAACTCCTACCTCTTCAGAAAAATGCATGCTGGAACTTTATTCCTGGACTGAAAAATCAGAATCCGAGATTCCTGCCCATAGTGATCCTTGGCGACCCAGCCTACCTCTTGCTCCCCTGGCTCATGAAGTCATACATGAGCAGACTGGACCCCCATAAGGAGGGGTTCAACTACAGGCTGAGAAAGTGCAGAATTGTGGTTGAATGTGCTTTTAGGCATTAAAGGGAAAGTTTAGGAGTGTCCTGACTAAGTTGGACCTCGGCGAACACATTCCCTTTGTGTTGGCAGCCTGTTATGTGCTCCATAATATTTGTGAGAGCAAGAGGGAAACTTATCTGGCAAGGTTGAGGACTGAGGTAGAACTCCTAGCCAAATATTTTGAGCAGACAAATACCAGGGTGATAAAGAGAGCACAGCATGGAGGAGCACAAATCAGAGAGGCTTTGAATGGCCTGTTTTGAGAGACAGTGAATGCAGGGCCCCTCGTTGTTTGCCCATAATCCTGCACACCTCCCCTGCAGTACAAGCAATAAAGAGACTGTTGTTCGGAGATCATGCATTTTTATGTAGAGAAGATGGGAGGTTCTCAGAAATGCATGAACAGCCTTTTGCCTACTGAGATCCTGGAGGCTGAGTATGAGGCTGCCCTTGAGCTGCCCCCTCCCCTCTACCCCATGTCCTGGGGCCCCTGAGGGTGGATGCCATGGAACTAGGAGAGGAGGGAAAGTAATTTTATTTGGGTTGGAGGGGGTCCTGAGAGGGGTTCTTTTCCAGGCTAGCTGCCAGGCATTCCATCACTGCCAAGATTGCTCTTGGTGCCTTGCTTGCACATTCCTGCAGGCTTTTCTGTCCTACCTCTCCACCACCCCGTCCTGCCTCTCTGCCTGCATCTCCTGCAGGAGCATGTTCCTTCATTCCATTTGCTCCTTAAATATATCATCCCTTGTCTGTTTTCACCTGCAGCTATGCGCCAGGTATAGCTGCAGAGCTGGGGGAGTATGCAGTGAGCTAACTACTGTTCCCACTAATGAAAAGTTTACAAGGGCACAAATTAGATATGTTGTGTTAAACCTACCCATAATCTGTTAACATACAGAGAAACTCTCTGTAAAGACAATAGAGATGTGTTCTGTGCAAGGCAAAAGTTTTGCTTTAAATAGGTAACTGTCCAGCAAGTATGCAGAGTTCTCAGGGGAATATCTGAACTCACAGTTCAGAGGCAGGCAGATATGGTAAGGGGCCTGCCAGGGCATGTTTCTGCAGTTGGAAGATGTGGTCTGGTCATGCCAGTGGGACAGGGCCAGCTTCCCTGTGTCTAGCACACATGGCTTCCCGGCACAATGCTTCTTTGCCATCCCGCGGAAGTCTGTGGCTGGGAGACGGGAAATAGGGTCCAGTCATGCCGGCAGGGAAGCCTACAGCTGGGAGGGAGAGTGGGGGTGCCAGAGGCTGGAGCCTTGATAGCAGCAGAGGCAGCAGCTAATAGCTTCCCCTCCTCCTTCATCCAGGTTGCAATGTGAGATATCAGTCTTCTCCAAATCATGCAGAGTGACAAGGAGCAGATGATGACTGAACGTGGCCACAAACCTAGGCCTTTTGCTGCAGTGCTTTGTGATTCAGTGACACTTACTGCTGGCTTGGTGTGGAAAGGTGTCTGTCTGTGGAGGATGAAATAAGGCTGACCTCCCCAGAAAATTTGAAAAGGATCAAAGAAGTCCTGTCTGAGAGCTTCATGGAGATGTGCAGAGAGGATTCCCAATCCATTTCCAGACACATGAACATGCTCTGCTGGGTTCCTCACACTATGTAGGCACAGTGCACGCCACATATCACACCCAATTGCCTTAACCTGCTTGTAGTAAGAAAAAAAATTGTGAACTTACAAGAAGAGCCCTCCCGGGATCAGTGCTCAGATGGGAGACATACTGGGAGGAGGAGTCTGGCTCCCATATGATAAAAAGTTTTTGGCTCTCGCCAATTGCTGTCTGGCCATTCTCCTTGTCCTCACACTCCTTTTCCACTCCCCATGCCCCTTCTGCCACCACTCTGTCCTTCACAATGCCCGGAGTGTCTTGGCCAGACTCCACCATCAGGCTTGGGCTGTTGGTTCGCCCCTCGCTAGGATCACATGCAGCTGTTTGTAGAAATGGCATGTGTGCAGTTATGCACCACACTGTTCATTTGCCTCCTTTGCTTTGTGGTAGGACTGTCTCAGCTCCCTTATTTTAACTCTGCATTGCTGTGTGTACCTGATATATCCTTTCTCCTCCATTGCCTTTTGAGATCTTTGCATAGATATTGGCATTTCTTTTGCTGGTTTGGAGCTTGGAGACCATGGATTCTTCTCCCCATGCCTCTAGGAACTGGAGCTTATGGGACTTGAAATATTGGAAGTCATGACCACGTATTGCTCAGGTGTGCTGCCTGCTCTTTGGTATGCTCACAACACTGGCCACACAGGAAATTAAATTCAGATTTTTCCAGGGCTATTTCTGTTACCTGGAGAGCAGTAGAGGCTCAAGTTCTGGTTAGAGCAGGGCACTGTGAGATGCTTGACTTTTGCCAATTCTGCATCTACACTACCATGAACTTGATCAGGCAAGGTTGGGAATAGTGTTACTCCTCATGAAATCAGGAGTACCTGACATTGACTTAAGCAGCACTTCAGGTCGACCAGACATGCTTGGTATTGTGGACATGTCTAGAAAATTTACCTGTTTTTGTGTGGCTAAATTTAGTCTAAACAGCTAGGCTACGTCTACACTGGCCCCTTTTCCGGAAGGGGCATGTAAATTTCACTAGTCGTCGTAGGGAAATCCGCGGGGGATTTAAATATCCCCCGCGGCATTTAAATAAAAATGTCCGCCGCTTTTTTCCGGCTTTTAAAAAAGCCGGAAAAGAGCGTCTACACTGGTCGTAGGGAAATCCGCGGGGGATTTAAATATCCCCCGCGGCATTTAAATAAAAATGTCCGCCGCTTTTTTCCGGCTTTTAAAAAAGCCGGAAAAGAGCGTCTAGACTGGCCCCGATCCTCCGGAAAAAGTGCCCTTTTCCGGAGGCTCTTATTCTTACTTCAAAGTCTTATTCAAAGTAGGAATAAGAGCCTCCGGAAAAGGGCGCTTTTTCCGGAGGATCGGGGCCAGTGTAGACGCTCTTTTCCGGCTTTTTTAAAAGCCGGAAAAAAGCGGCGGACATTTTTATTTAAATGCCGCGGGGGATATTTAAATCCCCCGCGGATTTCCCTACGACGACTAGTGAAATTTACATGCCCCTTCCGGAAAAGGGGCCAGTGTAGACGTAGCCCTAATGTAGACCAGGATACTACAGCCTAATATGCTTCATACACAGAAACTCACTAAATCAACTGAAATATTCACTACTGTGCCAATGAAATGCCCTGCCCATTGTTTCTTAATGCTGTGGCACTATACATGCTCATGGGTTGCCTTATTATGCACATTTAGTCTAGCATTCACTCAGTTTTCTAACTCTTATTCCCATGCTGATGGACTAATTCATGACAAGACAACCTTGCAATACCTGACCAGTGCTGCCCCCCGCCTACGGGATTGGAATGTGTTTTAACCTGGCATTCCTCTTGAACAGTTCTGTTAAGCTTATAAGAAGCACAGGAGATCTTTTCAGGGGAAAAGGCAATACACTGCGTTTATTGAGAATACAATGGCAAAGCAGTTAGTATATGCTTACACATACTCTATTCCTCGGTCTTCCACCAGTCGATGCCTATATTTACCAATCCTTGTGGCCAGCCACATAGGCCCCGCCCCCATCCGTGATCAGTCTGCCTGGACTGATGATCCAGTCTTTGGCAGGATGACCCTGCTCTTAAGGCAAAAAAGTTCTCCTTTTTATAATAGTTCTTTCCCATCAGGATCAGTGGGGTTTGCATCATCATGCTGTTTTTCTGACAAATATTTGTTATTTCCAGTTGTTTCTCTTCTTTGTTCTGCCATGCTAAGCTGGTTTCAATCACAAATATTTTGTTCCAATTGATAAATGCTTGTCTTATTTCAGAGCCATCGATTTGCCCACTGCTTACATCTCGATGGGGATATACAGTAATCTTCAGCGTCTTTACATCTGTTTTCTGCTTCTTCCCAGAACATTTGTTCCAGTGGCCTTTGCACTTATTTATCATATATTCCTCCTTCACTCACACGTAACACGGTTGATTTCTTTGTTACAGAGGAACAATATACACATTTAAACAAGGACGTCAGATTACAATTTTTAAAAAAAGTCATCATATCCTTTTACTTATTTCACAATACTAATTTTAAAACTTAAAACAAAATAAGACTCTATTCCAGCCTTGATCTCAGCTTTAAATACAATATTCTGGCTGTTGCACCTTTACCAATGGTAAGGTAAAGGTCCTTTCTGCTTTCAGAAAGGGTGGCTGGCAGGCAAAGTATACTAAGGCACATTACTTAGCATAAAGCTACATTTTAGCTACATGGCTACAGTTTAATGCTTCTGATTTCATTGTTGGTATCAGGTGATGCATTCTAAAATCATGTGATTCACAACATTCTGCTTTGGTCCTATATCTTGTTTAATATAATGCATTTTAACTCTTGGCCTGGAAGAAAATTACCAAGCTGGCTGCTGACCCATATCTCCCTCTCTTGCAGTTGGTCTGTATTACTGTTTCAGTAATCTGTCAGATGCCCGCATTTTTATCATCATGTACGGTGTGACCAGCATGTATTTCTCTGCTGTCATGGTGAGAGCTGCTGTGTGCTGAGGATTGAGTGTGTGCAGTCCCTGACTGATCATCTGGGGGATGGAAAAATGGGTAGAAAGAAGAAATGGGTAAAGTGGAAACCTAGCATGGCTCTGTTGCTGACTTGCTAGTGTCCAGTTTCTCAGTCTGTCTGAACTTTTCTCCATTGTCAAACAGGGTTAATGTTACTCATTCGCAGAGCTGGTTGAAACAGTCATGATATTTCTGTGTTTTTTTTTTTTTAATCATATGTGATTGTCAGGCTTTGTTAGGGAATGCAACCTGGGAAGATTTTTGAAGCTGCAATTAAAGGTCATTAGTTTCTGTTGCCATCATGGTGAGTGAGTCAATTTTGGGAGGGTTAGTGAATGCTCTTTCTAAAGCCCATTGAGTTCCCCAGGTGGTAGGCTCTGGGTTCCATTACTGAAGCAGATTGTGAATTAGTAGCTTTGGGTTTTGCTGTAGCACATTATGCCCCAGGTGAGAGTTGACCTCTGTTCAGCGTGTTAATTCTTCAGAACAGTCCAGCACTATTAAAGGGTCTAGAAGTAATGTCAAATTAAGATTCCTCCTGCTGTCCTTGTTTCTGTAAAATTCAAAGACTCCATGGCACTAGACATGAGAGTAACACCAGTGTTCACTCCATAATGAATGCCCACCGGAAAACAATCTTGTGTCCCAGCTTGGGAAGGTTCTTGCGAAGTACAGAATGACTATTTGCCTGTACAGTCACTGCATCAGTGGGAAATGGGAAGAGTTATATGCACCTACAGTCTGTATTTTATTTCTGAGCTCGCTGTGCATTCTGCTATGAGCTCATCATTCTGTGGCCAGATAATAAATGTCCTGCTGTCTTCAATAGGTACGTCTTATGCTGGTTCTGGCGCCAGTTATGTGCATTCTATCCGGCATTGGTGTTTCTCAGGTGCTCTCCACTTACATGAAGAACCTGGATATCAGCCGACCAGACAAGAAAACCAAAAAGCAACAGGACTCTACCTATCCTATTAAAAATGAAGTGGGTTTTCATGTATGATTATAATCCAGGCCTCAAGGGGGAAACTACATGGGACCTGGTCTGGAGGAAGAGCCCCAAACCTTTATGGGAGAATGTAATTAAAGGAGTTGGGGGAAGGAGAGGGGAGACATGGGCATATTCTCTAGCCCATGGGTTCCCAAACTGGGGGGGGCGTGCCTCCCGGGTGTGTGTGAAGAAATTCCAGGGGGGGTGCAAGGCCCCTCCATGTTTTGTTTTTCAGCCCAAGTCAGTTCCTTTTTTTTTCTCAACACGTTTTGCTGCTTTTTGGGGGAGGGGGGACATGAGGGTTTCTCAGAAAGTGGGCATGATGCCGAAAAGTTTGGGAACCACTGCTCTAGCCCTTCTCCTGAGTAGCACAGAGATAATCAGTGGGAGTGACTTTTATCTAAGCATAGACTAATTAGTGCTTGTAATTCCTGCTCTGTAATAGGAGGTTGAGCTGTGATTCAAAATGAGTGAAACTTCTGAGATGCTTTTGATACTGTCTGTTGCTTCCCTAGGTTGCCAGTGGCATGATCCTGGTCATGGCTTTCTTCTTGATCACCTATACTTTTCATTCGACTTGGGTAACCAGTGAAGCCTATTCCTCCCCTTCCATAGTGCTCTCTGCTCGTGGGGGGGATGGCAGTAGGATCATCTTTGATGATTTCAGAGAAGCGTATTACTGGCTACGTCACAATACACCAGAGGTAAACTGCCACAGGCCTCTGTACAAAATGATCCTTGGACTTGGTTTTGGGTGGAGCAGGGAAACATCTTACAGAGCTGCTGTACTGTCACTGAGGAGAAAATGGCAACTATTTGGTTGCCAGAATAATTGGCTAAATCAGATTTATTCCTAATAAGGCTCAAATAGGAAGCTCTGGTCAGGTTTAGGGTGTGAATGGTTTTTTATTTAAAGGTATTAAATCTATTTTTGATCATGATTTTGTGTTTATTTCCCTACTGCTGTACTTTTCCATGGTGCCCAACTATGTTTGGTGTTTAAAGCAAGTGATTGTGAGTCTGGGTTCTAATTTCCCATGGTATGTGACCTTAAGAAGTCATTTATACAATATGTCCCTTATCTCCATTTTACAGAACGAATAATAATTGCATGCCTCCCTTTTAAGACAGCGAAGAAGCCTAATTAATGCTTGTAAAGGGCTTTGATATAGTGCCTTTCTTACCAGAGTATGAGTGAATTTTATTACAGTGAGGATAAGGATGCAGTTACATACTTACTCCATTCCCGGGTCCCAATGTTCCTGATAGGGACCACGCTGCTCTCTCTGGAAAATACTAATATTTTGTATGGTGGCATCACACACTAATAGAAAACTGTGGAAATCTAAGTGTGTCCATACAGGAAGGGTCCAGATGGAATGCTCTTCGTTATTTGCAGATTGACTTGCTTTGCACTGTTACTTATAATTTCTTGGGGAAGTAAAGGTTCTTGACCATACAGTTTGTTGCATCTCAGCTGGTCTGTTTTCTGTAGAGTTGCATGTGGCACATGGATCCACTTGGGTCCATTTGTGCTAGGCTGCTGGCGTAGGCTTGTGGGAAGCAAATACTGATACACTTGCAGGGGGAGGGAGAATATAAAGAACAACATGAACGTTGCAAAGAGAGGTCAGGAAAATGTTGGTCAGTTGTTCAGCTTTACCATTATGTTGCTTTGGCCTGGAACTGGGGAGTATAATTCACTTCTGAAGAAGAATTGTCTCTGAGAATCAAGTAGGTGTCTCTCTTGGCCTCCCAAGACACAATGTGTCCAGGTGCAGTGAATATTTCTGTCACACACAACATGGGTTCAGAAATTACCTCAGTCCCTGGGACATTGGAGCAAGACTATCCGGCTCTAGAACAGGGGTGGGCAATAATTTTTTGCCAGGAGCCAGTTTGGAAATTTTTTAAGTGGCCCGGGCCACACAGGATGGGGCGCGGCATCAATTGAAAGGCGCGAGGCCAATATACTTCCAGGTTCCCCACCCCCAGACCATGATTGGTCTGGGGATGAGGAAGTGTCTTTGCCCCTCCACGTTCTCCCTAGGTGTCCATGCCCCAGTCATGGAAGGAGACTACCCGTGCTCCCTTGCCCCTAGGCCAAATAAGGCCTGGGGGCGGGGGAGCACGCGAAGCCTCCTCCGCTCTCCTCCTGCCCTGTGAGCAGCGTGCAGCGCTTCAAAGCTCCACGTGCTCCTGGTTGGGCAGGCAGAGGCTTTGTGCGCTCCCCCACACCCAGCCTCTAATTTGCCTGGGGGTGGGGGAGCAGCAGGGCCTCCACGGGCTAGATCCACCCTCTTGGTAGGCCTAATCCGGCCCATGGAGGCCTTTTTGCCCACCCCTGCTCTAGAAGGTACATGGCTGCAATGTAAGGCAGTTTGATGTTGCCTATGTAGACAGAACAAACTGCATCACAACTCCACAGTCTAAAATTGTTATTCCCGGGGTCTTTACGTAGCTATAACGGTGTAATATGGCATCTTGGTTCAGCCTGCGATAGGGACAGTTTGCTCGTGTAGATAAGCGTTTGGCCTTAGTCATCAGACTTGAAGAGACAAAGTGAGGGGAAATGAGTTGGGAGTTCCTCTGGATACAGCCAAAGCTAGAGGTGATCTGTATGTTGAAATGGTTGCGGGCCCTGCATCCTTGAGCCACTTCTCCATGGTAACCAAACCTTTCTGGGCAGCTTTCATTGAACTCCTTGTTGCAGAATTTCCATCTGTGTATTTTGTAGCTGGGAAATGAGAGATCTGGAAAAGAACTGTTTGCTGTCTTAGTGTGACGAGATGGCCCGGTTTGCTGCAGGGCTCAGCTGTTCAAGCAAGCTTTTTACTTTATTTCTGTTTTGTCTTGGAACCTCTAGCATGTGTGGCTCTGTGACTGCCCAACATGGAAAAATGTTTTTCCATCACAAACTGCTTCTTACTTCCATAAACACTGTAGTGCCCATGGGCCACCTGAGCCCGCCATGGACAGAGGCTGCTCTGGGGCAGCAGCCCCTGTCTGTGTGGTGCCCAAGCTCCCCATGGACAGAGGCTGCTCTGGTCCTCCATGGATAGGGCCTACTACCTCCCCTGATACAGAGGCAGCAGGGCAGTAGGCAGGAGCTGGTCCATGTAGGGAGCCAGTTTAAAAAACAGCGCGGTGGGAGGGGAGGGGCTAACTAGGACCATTGAGCATTCGATTATCAGTTAAACAGTTTGCGGGCTAGCCTCTAACTTCTCTACTCTGGGAACCTGACATGTTGAAGCTGCTCATGGGCAGATCTCTCAAGCCTGTGACTACAGTGAATTGTTGTGGGAATAGGACAGCATCCTTTCTGTGTGTTGGTTGAAAGTAGGTGTACTAATTGGATCTTTTGTATTTGAATGCAGGATGCAAAGGTCATGTCTTGGTGGGACTATGGGTATCAGATAACTGCCATGGCAAATCGGACGATTCTTGTAGACAATAACACCTGGAATAACACGCACATCTCCCGAGTTGGTCAGGTAAGTGTTCCTGGATTACTTTTTAGTGTACCAGAAAATCTTCAATTTTTCTTGGGTCCTACACTGAATGGAGGTTCTAGTTCTCATTTGAGTGACCCATGCTCTTATTTATTGATGAAAATGACTCTATGATGCTCCCATGTGATGAGGTTACTGTGGGTTTAAGGCAGGAGTGGGGAACTTTTTGGGGGGGGGGGCTCTGACCCACTGAAAAATCTGTTGGGGGCCGCACACAAGTGAGAAGCCAAAAATAAGTCCCCTGTTGAGAAGCGGAAAGACACTCCCACATTCCCTTCACACATCAAAACCTGGGATGGTCAAGCTAGTAGATTTTGTGTGCTCTAGCAGGGGGGCTAGAGTGCCAGCGCTGGCTCCCTAATGCTGTGGCAGGTCCTGAGCCTTGAGGGCCAGGTCCAGGCAAGCCAGGGAGCAGATGGCCTTAGGTTCCCCACCCTGGCTTAAGGGCTGTTGCTTGACTCTGGCTTTGTTTTTTCTTCAAGGCAATGGCATCCACTGAAGAAAAGGCCTATGAAATTATGAGGGAACTGGATGTCAGTTATGTGCTGGTAATATTTGGAGGCCTCACTGGATATTCCTCAGATGGTAACATACATCACTCTAAAACTCCTTTCTTACAGCTTTGCTATGTAAACTCCTCCCTGCTAACTCCTCCCTTAATCCAATTACCCCTTCTTGGATGCATAACCCTTATTTTTATGTTATGATGCTCCCATTTTCTGCCTGCACCATGTGCAGTAGCAGGTTATGCAGTCAGCTGCTGCACCATGTGACCACTGAAGAGCTGGCTAAAGTTGTTGTAGTGTTGCGTGTACTCTGCACAGAGAGCAGGGGGAGGACAGACCTGTCCTCTTGTTACTCTTAAAAGGAAAGGTTTGTTATTGTTTTTTTTTTTTAATCTAATATACATTAATCTCAACACAAAGACTACAATGGATAGCTAGGCTGGAGGATCTGATGGGCTTCTGGGATGCATAATTAGTATAGGGATGAACAAGTTTGTGGTAGGAATGTAAAATCCTGTTCAATTACTTGATAGGTTATTCGGGTGCAGGGGAGCTGTTCCAGCCTCCACCAGTTAACTGTTAACATCCCTAGTTTGTGACAAGGCCAGAGTGATTCATGCAGCTGCTCCATCCTGCTGGTGAATGCCTGTATTTGTTTGTACGATACAGTTTAATCTATGGGTGGCGAGAGGGCTTTCTGATCAAATTGGACAATAATAGCTACCTTTGGGGCAGGCTGGGGAGGGCAAAATCAGACCCAGAGGTTGGATCCAGCTGACCAAATATTTCTCTTCAGCCTTCCCAGCTGATTAGCAGAGCATGCATACTTGCAGCTGACAATGTGTTCAGTTGCCCCTCCCCCCACCTTGCTCCATCCTGCAGCAGAGCTGCTCCTAGGGTTCTCCTGCTAGCTGTGCAGAGAGGGGAGGAGAGACGGAGACATAGGGGTGGAGGTGAGTGCTGAAGGTGTCCGCCTGCCCCTGTACCCTATCTCTGCAGACCTGGGGTCAGAAAGAGGGAGGCGCACAGCAGAGCTGCTCTAGTCTGAGGCATGGATGGTAAGTGACTCGGAGGAGAGTCACTCAGAGGAGAATGCACTATTTCGACGATTTCTGTGCTCGTGTTCTCGTTCTCTCTCTGACACACACACACACACACACACACACACACACACACACACACACACACACACACACACACACACACA